ATTCTGGTAAAGTATTTCGAAGGAGGTGAGAAAGTCAAGGTTGTCAAATTACAAACCTTGCGTCGACAATATGAGTTATTGTCGATGGGAGAAGATGAAAAAGTTGCAGAATATGTGTCGAAGGTTCAGAAACTCGCCCATCTCATGAAGGCTTGTGGTGAAACCATTACTGATAATATGATAGTTGAGAAGGTAATGAGAATGTTGACCTCTCACTTTGATCACGTTATCGTAGCTATTCAAAGAATCCAACAATCTTGAAACCACTAAAGTGGAAGATTTGGTTGGTTCGTTGGAGGCGCATGAGATGAGGATTGTCAAAAGGAAAGGAGTTCAGGACTCGATACAGGCACTTTAAGCTCCACCATGGAAAAAAGATGGTGGTTCCAACAAATTCAAAGGCAAGTTCGACAAGACTCGTGGCAATAAGTCTTGGTCGAATCCCCATAAAAATAAGGTCGAAGATAGATCTTCTGAATCCTCGAAAAGGGGAGGAGGAAACTATCGAAAGGACAAAGAAGATAAGAAAGGTATGCAGTGTTATAATTGTGAAAAGTGGGGACACTTGGCCAAGAATTATTGGTACAGAAAAGACAAGGGATCGAAAGGTAAGGACGAAAGAGCGAACCTTGCACGCCAAGATTCAGATGATTTTGAAGGTGGTATGATGGTTATGGCTGCAGTTGCAGATAACCATGTTGAATCCAATATCTGGTTTGTCGACTCAGGATGCTCGAACCACATGACTGGTCGAAAGGAGTGGTTGGCAGATTTTGACGAGTCGAAGAAGAGCATGGTAAAACTTGTTGATAATAGTTCATTGCAAGCAGAAGGTACTGGCAACATAGTCTTTCAAATGAGTAATGGAGGAAAAGCTATGATCAAATATGCACTCTATGTACCTGGAATGAAATGCAACTTATTAAGTGTTGGACAACTAGTCGAAAAAGGTTTCTCAGTTGTCATGAAAGATGGAGTTTTGAAACTGTTCGACACAAAGAACAATTTGGTCTTAAAATCTCCATTGTCAAAGAATAGGATATTTAAGACTATGATCAGTTCAACAGAAGTTCAATGTTTGAAAACTGTTGTCGACCACAAGGATAGTTGGTTGTGGCATTTTAGGTTTGGACATTTGAATTTTCGATCACTTAATCAACTGATTACTCAAGATATGGTTACTGGTATTCCAAGCCTTGAGATGCCTGAAAAACTTTGTGAAGGTTGTTTAGTGGGAAAGCAATCCATGAATTCTTTCGTTTCGACTATGTTAATAAGATCATCCTGCATTCTCAAAGTGGTACATTCAAATGTATGTAGTCCATTCGAAGAACATACAATTGGTGGAAACGGATATTTTGTTTCATTTGTCGATGAGTTTAGTCGAAAGTTGTGGATCTATGTGATCAAAATAAAGGACGAAGTATTCAAAATCTTTAAGAGATTCAAGATACTTGTCGAAAACCAGAGTGAGAAGAAAATTAAAGTTCTGCAAACAAATGGAGGTGGCGAATACACATCCAAGATGTTTGAAGATTTCTGTGCAGAACATGGTGTTGATCATGAGGTAACTGCTCCTTACACACCTCAACATAATGGAATTGCTGAAAGAAGAAATATAACCATATTAGATATGGCGAGATGCATGCTGAAGCAAAAGAATTTTCCAAAATATTTATGGAGAGAAGTTGTTTCGACTGCAGTTTATATTTTGAATAGGTGTCCTACTAAGATATTGAAGAACAAGGTTCCTGAAGAAGTGTGGAGTGGCAAACGACCATCAGTAAGTCACTTGAAGGTGTTTGGCTCTATGTGTTACAAGCATGTTCCTGATGCAAGGAAAAGAAAGCTTGATGACAAGAGTGAACCTATGATTCTGGTAGGATATCATAAAACTGGTGCATACAGACTATTCAATCCAGTTAATGAGAAGATTGTGTTGAGTCGAGATATTGTGATTAATGAAAATTCTACCTGAGATTGGAATTCTAGCAATTCAATTAACAAATCATTAATGAACTTTGATTTCAATGAAGAAACTAATGAAGTAGAAGTCAAAGGAATTGTTGAGAATCCATTCGCAATCGAAGAAGAAGCAGTTGCTGACACTTCCGTCACAGTTGAAGTCGAAGAGGTTGTGGCTGAAACAAGCCAAAGACCTCAAAGAAATATAGTTCTTCCAACAAGACTTCGTGATTATGAAGTGGTGGGTGATGATGAAATCACACCAGATGGAGAATTAGTTCATTTTGCTTTACTTGCAGGTGTTGAACCAATCATCTATAACGAAGCTTTGAAGATTAACAAGTGGAAGTTAGCTATGGTCGAAGAGTTACATGCAATAGAAAGAAACAACACATAGGAGTTAGTCGAATTTCCAACACATACAAAAGCTATCAAAGTAAAGTGGGTGTTCAAGTTGAAACACAATGCAAATGGGTCAATAACAAGACATAAAGCAAGATTAGTAGCTCGAGGTTTTCTTTAAAGAGCAGGACTCGACTACTCTGAAGTATTTGCTCCAGTAGCAAGATTAGAGACTGTTCTACTAGTGGTAGCATTGGCATGCAACTAAGGATGGTCTACATTCCATCTAGATGTGAAATCAGAATTTCTAAATGGTCCTTTAGACAAAGAAGTTTATGTCACACAACCTCCTGGGTTTGTGATTCAGAAGGAAGCGAGTAAAGTATATAGATTGCACTAAGCGCTATATGCCCTCAAGCAGACACTTAGGGCATGGAACAAGAAGATCGACTCATACTTAGTCGAATTAGGATTTGTCAAATGAAAATCAGAGCATGGTGTCTATGTCCAGGTTGTAGCACAAGATATAACAATCATCTGATTGTATGTTGATGACTTGCTAGTAACTGGAAATAGTTTGGAGAACTTATTGAAGTTCAAAGAGCTGATGACGAAGGAATTTGAAATATCGGATCTAGAAAAATTGTCTTATTTTCTAGGGATGGAATTTCAAATGTCTAAGCAAGGTATGGTGCTACATCAAAGAAAGTATGTCAAAGAGATACTCAAGAGATTCAGAATGGATGATTCGAATCCTGCATCCTCACCTGTCGAACCAAATGTGAAGTTGGAGAAGAATGGAGAGGAAGACAAAGCCGACACAACTTTGTTCAAGTAAATTGTGGGATCTCTGAGATATGTGTACAATAGTCGACCAGATATAGGTTTCGCAGTCGGATTAATAAGCAGATATATGAGTGAACCAAGAGTGTCACATATGAAGGTTGCAAGAAGAATCCCGAGATATTTGAAGGGTTCAATAAATTGTGGAATACTATTTCGACGAGATTCTGAAGGCAAAGAAACAATAGTTAATTGTTTTTCAGATGTTGATTGGTGTGGAGATAAGGAAGATCGAAGAAGTATAACTGGATATTTCTTTCAAGTATTTGGTGCCCCAATCTCATGGTGTTCGAAGAAGCAAACTGTGGTGGCATTGTCATCGTGTGAAGCTGAATATATAGTAAGGTCCTATGCTGCATGTCAAGCAATTTGGATCAGATATGTACTTGAAGAAATGACTGTCGAAGTGAAGAAACCTCTAATATTGCAAATCGACAACAAGTCAGCCATAAATCTGACGAAGAATCCAGTTCTGCATGGAATAAGTAAACATATTGAAGTAAGGTTTCACTTCTTGAGGGAAAAAATAAATCAAGGTGAACTTGAAGTTAGACATTGCTCAAGTGAAGCACAGTTGGCCGACATTTTCACCAAAGGATTGAAGATCGACAAATTCCTGAATTTGAGAAAGAAATTAAAAATAGTTCAGATTAACTATTTTTTAGGATGTTCGACAACTTGGATTATGGAAGTGTGTTGAAATATTAAATTAGATTTGATTAGATTTAATATTTAAATATAATTCAAGTTGTGTTAACCCAAACCCAATTAGGGTTGTATATAAATAGTCATAGTGTGTATCATTATTTTGTACAATTGAATAATACAAATTCTTATTTCTTTTATTATTTTCTCTTTCTCTCTTCACTAAAAGTGCCTCACGCACTAACAAATTGGTATCAGAGCCTTGAGTTCGAGAAAGAAATCGGAAGAGACTTGTATCGAAATACGTCCAAGAAGTGATATTCCGTTGTAAGATGTCAATTGCGGTACAAGTGAGGGAGCATTGTGGACTCACACTTGAGAGGGAGTGTTGAAATAAGATAACAAGTGTGAGTAAGTGGAAAAATAGTCTCACATTAGATGAAAATATGGAAACTTAAGCATATATAAATGGGAGAACCTACTCATCTATCATCTTAAAATTTTAGGTAGATAAGTGGTGTGTCTCTCACAAAGGTGCTTATTCTTACACTATATATCGATGCTTTTAATATCTCTCGCCTAACAACATATAACAACAAGTCATGAAAATATGTGACTGTGTCAAGACTATAGCATATCATGGTCCAAAATTGATCCTTCTTTTTCTCAAAGTCTGCTCAAGAGGAAGGATGTTTTAATACATTGCTTTTCATCATTGATAATATCGTTTGTTACAAAAGTAACAAAAGTGGAGTTAAGAATGATATACTCCATCCGACAAATGTAATTTTAACAATTAAATTTTATTTCAAAATGATTGTGGTTTTCATTTTTGAATGTAATAATATTATTTTTTCAATTGTTTCATTTATTTTTTATTCTCTATACTATTTTCAATACATTAATAAGATTACTTTTATAAAATTATATGATATTTTTTTATGAAAAAACATTATATTCTTTAATTTATTCTTTAATTTATTTGTGGGTAAAAACTTTAAATGACAGTTGCTTTTAAACAGAGAGAGTACAACTAGTATGTAATAATTACAAACTTTGCCAAACAACTGATAAATCATACATCACACGAGTACTGCATTCAACGAATTTCTCCCTGTGCACCGCAGAGAAACTCCAACTATAAGACATTATTTCAGAAAAAATTTACTTATAGAAAAACAGAAAACAGAACCAAGACATAGATATCATTTCTCAGGAACAATGTTGAAAGCCCTTGTTTTATCTATCCAATTTATCAGAGAATTCTTAGTGTTCCTAAATCCAACAAACCCATGTTCTTTAGCCTTGTTCATGCTATCCACAAGCCCTTCTCCTCCCAAAATAATATCCACAAACCACCACTCACCAATCTCTTCCAACTTAGTCGCTTCCAACTGCTTCTCACTCACAATCTCATCCCAAACATGACCCTTATCCTTCATCAACTCCGACAACTTCAAACGTCCACCATTTTCCTCATACCCATACTCCTCAATCCCAAACTGTTCCGCCAAAACCTTCCATAACTGCTTCCACTTGAAAACATCACCGTTGCTACAATTAAAAGCTTCATTCTTAGCATAAGGATCCACCGCAGCCCAAATATGCTGCTCAGCAATCAAATCCGCATCAGAAGCCACAGAATAAGACTCCCAAGCTTCCTTAGTACCAGGAAACCTCAAAGGAACACCTTCATGCTTGCAAATTGTAGCGTAAACACAGAGAGAACCAACAAGGTTCATCAAATTATAAGGCGAAAATCCGAATATAACTTGAGGTCTATGAACAGACCAACTCAAACCCTCTTTCTTACGAGTTTCTTCAAACAATATATCTTCTTGAACATAATAAAAATTCGGTGCATCCAAACGCGGTAGATCCTCCGTAAACGGTGGCTCGTGACTTTTAATCTTCCCAAACAGTTCAAACGGTCCCACATAGTGCTTGGTGCCAGTCTGAAGCGTCACATGACGGAGGTTCGGAGCGTTTGGGATAACGGCACGGAGGACATTCCGTAACATCTCGCCGTTAACTTTACAGTTTTCAGTTTCCGTGACACGGTTTGTCCAACTGACGTAGAAGATGTGAGTAACATCGGTGAGAACGGAGAGTTTGGTTCGTGTGTCGTTTGGATCGGTGATGTCGCACCGGATATATTCGATTCGGTAATCGGCGTTCCAGGAAGGACGAGGACGCCGGGCAACGCCGTAGACTTTCCATCGGCCGCCTGGTGTATCGGGTAGGGGGAGAATCTCGGCGAGGCTGTTACCGACGATGCCGGTGACGCCGATTATCAGAGCCACGCTCTCGGGGGTTCGCGGCGGTTCATCTTCATCGAATTTCTTCTGCAAAGAAACCGAAATTGATTATTAATGAATAAATAATTGTAAATGAAAATTAATAATTGATGGAAATGATTGGGAGATGGTTTACCTTGGCAGCGCCAATGGCTCCGGACCACCACCAGCTCATAGTTTAGATTCAGAAAATGTAAGCTCAGAGGAAAATATTGGTAGAGTTGATAAGAGTTTCTATGGAATTTGGTTCTTTAAACTTGTAGATTTGTACACGTCAAGATGAATGGCTTTAGGTGGATATGTCGTGTCATTGATATTATCTATTCCATTAGACTTTCAATTTTTATTTTTCCTTTTTGGGACAAAGTTATTCATTTACTATAAATATAATACTATTATGATTTTTCTAGAACATTTTAATGATGAGATTTAAAGTAAATTTTGAAAATATTGAACTTGTTTATTTGGTGATAATCTAAAAGAAGAAGGTGTTTAGTTTAAATGGATTTAAAAAATCAAATCAATCCAATATAAAGTTATAAATTTAGCTAAATTAAATTGAAATCACCAAATTTTTTATAAATATATTTAAGTCGTTTTTTAACAAAATTGTACGATTTAGTTTGATTTGGTTTGTGATTTATATTTTGTCAATTGAATCAAACTATATTGTATTCTCACCTAAATTTTATTTAACTCACATCCAATTAAAATTTAAATCTATTATACTTTATTCTTATAATTATGGATAATTTTTTCATCTTTGCACTTATAGTTTCAATTCTCTTCTTCTCTAATCTCTTATATTTTTTTTTTTTTTTCGCCTTCTAATTTTTATGTAAATGTTATCTCTTTCAATTTCGTTTTATCACACATCTTCTTCTCTAATCTCTATTTTCTTATTTCTTATGCTCTTTCTTTTTCATCTTCACTAATCTCTCATCTTTTCAATTTTTTTTTATTTATAATATTTTTTACATTGTTTTATGCTATTATTTTATTTTTATTATTCCACTTTTGTCTAATCTAATTTTTATATATTAAATGGGAAGTTGTTGTCAAAATATGATGATTTTTGTTGTTATTTCATAGTGTATGAATGATTAAATACAAAGTTATGCTGTCATCTATATGTGTATGTATGACTTAGTAAAATATTTGTAAAAAAATCAAATCAATCAAACCTAACCAAATCACATTAGTTTGATTTAGTTTGATTTGTTTTTTTTAAAAGCAAACCGAACCAAATCAAATCACACATTTTTTCTTACAGTTTAGATGATTTTTAGCGTCAAAGTCGCTCAACCCACACTGTGAACACCCCTAAATGGATTAATGTCTAATCATATTTAGATATTATTTTAGCTTTAGTGCAAACTTCTTCTTTTTACTCTTTTTAAGTTTATTAAATAATCAATTATAAATTATTAGATGATTGAATTAATTCATCTAATACATGTATTAATTGAATTAAATTGATGTGAGTTGTTGATTGAAGATTTAATCACCACCGACAATAATACTTTTCGTATATTTTTTGATAATGCACTAACATAAATAAGTTTTTGATATTTATAAACTAATAATTTTTTAACAATTTAATTCAACGAAGTATTTTTTCCAAATAACACAATTATAACAGGTTCTCACACTAAAAATTGCAGCATCTCTTCTAACACACGTGCGTTTTTCAACATCAATGTATATTTTCTCCCTTCAACTTCATAATGCCGTTGAAGCTCAAGTTTAGCTTAAACGAAGGAAAGACAACTAAACATCAATGAAACTTCCTCCACCTTTATTTATCTTTTTCATTACGTATTTGATACGCAACTCACTCACTTTATCCATGCACATAATTTAGAAATGTTAGTTTTTGTTGTGATGGTTTTGTTACTCTGATTATGTTGATAAAAATGAAACTAGTTTTTTTTGTTTTTATGTTGATGTTGACAAAAGTTCATATATACTATGAGTTAAGTAAAGTTCACATGTACCATGAGTTAAGTAAAGTTCACATGTACCATGAGTTAAGTAAAGCATGTTTTTCTTTTTTAGTGTTGTTTTTGTTTTAAGCAAAATGATTATGATGTTATTTTTATAGTGTTGTTAGAAATGTGTTAACTAATATATACCATACATGTACCATGAATCTCATACTAGATGTCTTTGTTGATATAATTCTTGTCTTCAGTAAAATAATTATGAGGTTATACATATGAAGTGCTCTTAGAAAATGATATGTTTATGGTCGTTTGTCATTTCAACATAGATGGACGGTTTAACCACTACCTTTCCTACAACCACCATCTCTCTTACAACCATCACCTCTCCTATAACCACCACCTCTCCTAAAACCACATATAGTAACAACTTGTTCCATTGTAGAATACTTCCAATCACTACGCCAAAATAGACTTTTGGCATCACCAAAAAGACAACGCTTTAATGAGAAAACGCTGTTGTAGGTCTTTTAAAAAATTCGCTAAATAAAGAGCTGCTACAGACAGCCTTTAGAAAGCGCTTTTAAAAAGTGCTGCTAAATGCCCTACCTTAGAAAGCGCTTTAATGAGAAAACGCTGTTGTAGGTCTTTTAAAAAATTTGCTAAAAAAAAGCGTTGCTACAGACAACCTTTAGAAAACGCTTTAAAAAGCGCTGCTACAGACAACCTTTAGAAAACGCTTTAAAAAGCGCTGCTAAAGGCCTTAAATTCTCCCCACTTAAGAAAGCACTTTCTCCTGAAAGCGCTGCTAGATCTTGTATGATAGAAAGCGCTTTTAAAAAGCGCTGGCTTAGGTCAAATTATAAAATTAAAATATAAAAATTTCCCCACTTAAGAAAGCGCTTTCTCGTGAAAGCGCTGCTAGATCTTGTATGATAGAAAGCGCTTTTAAAAAGCGCTGTCTTAGGTCAAATTATAAAATTAAAATCTAAAATTTTCAGAACCCTATTCATTCATTTCTAATCGTTGTCTTCTTCTTCGCGACCGTTTCTTCTCCGACCGATTCTTCTCCGACCGTTCCTAATTGTTTCTTGTCCGACCGTTTCTTCTTCGACGAAAACGAAAAAGTTGTAACATTGTTCTTGCTGACGAAAACGAAGAAGTTGCTTGATGAAAACGAAGAAGTTGTTGAGCGCCGTAGACCGCCGTAGTTCAGGTACGTTATTCTTGCTGTTGTAACATTGTTCTTGTTGTACATTGTTGCTATTTTATACATTGTTGTTGTTATTGTTCTTGTTTTCTACATTGTTCTTGTTGTTAAGAAGTTTTTGTTAAGAAGTTTGATAAGAAGTTGTTGTTGTCCTCACCTCTTTTAGATTTAATATATTATAATAGATAGATAATAGATTAGATTAGAGCAAAATTTTGAGAGGTCCTATGTAAGAAACTGAAGATAGCTTCGGTTGAGCCATGAATTTTTTTAAGAGGCCAGGTTTAATCGTAATTTAGATCCTGCAAAATGCTTATCAGAATATGAGGTCCTTCAAAATACTTAACAACAACTCATTTTGCAGTCACAGAAAATTTGATCAAGGATATTTGCATTGTTCATATGTGATTTATCAAGGTACTAATGTACTATAGAAATAAGGTTATGGATTTGCTGAGTTACTGATCTCGATAGCACGACACGACTATACCCATCCTTTATCTTACCAAAATTGTTTTCTCTAAAGACATATGAGTTTCTGTCCTTTTTCATAACGGTGCTAGAGCTCGACTTATCCAAATAGGCTTATATTCTCGAGTGCATGGTAGAATAGAAGTAATGAGAAATGAGAATGTTGTCGTGGTTGAAAAATGTTTGCACAGGCTCTGTGTTTGTGGAATGCATTAGGACTCTTAGCAACTTGAACACATGGAATATTGTCTATTTTAGAAGTTGGACAGTGTATTGTGCCTTATAATATTTGTAAAATTGAATTGTCCATCCTTGTATATGGTCACATGACCAATGAATAAGGTTTTGTAATAGTTAGGATAATAAATATGATGGTTGAAAATTCGGATAGCAGCGGTACATGAAAATCGATTCTTGAACTATATTTAGTCGAGTTTAGTTATTCCTTTCACAATTTCATATGACATGTATGAACCATATTTTGTAGTTTCTTTATTTTCATGTCAATAATGTCTTTGTTATTGTTAGCAATTGTTTTTTTCTTCTAAAAACTCAAATCATACAACTTGAGCAGTAGAATTAGTTCTTAGAGATAAGAAATGCCACCGTTACTCTAATTTCGGTTAATCGAAAGAAAGACTAACAACTTTAATAATACCAACTCCATTATTTTATATTTCCTTAGTAATACTCTCGAAAGAAAGACTAACAACTTTAATAATACTCTCATTTTTTTATATTTCCTTAGTGGATTTTTATATTTGTTATTTCATTTTTCTTTTTTTTTCTTCTTTATTACAGGTCAATGGCTAGTAATCAACAAAACTCACAAGATACAAATGCTCCAGATAAGACATCAGAGGGAGAAATTACACGAGGCATCACTATTATGAGAAAAATCATTATTGATAGAGATAAAGGAGTAAAATATGATGTACATTAGAATGATGATAACCAAATAATCGATCCTAATGGTGCAAAGTTGACAAGCTACATTGGTACACTTGCTCGTATGCACGTTCCAATCACCTTTGATAAATGGACTAATAAAGATTTGGATTCCTACAAAGACAAAATTTGGACTGATATACAGGTACCATATAATTTAGCTTTAAAGTATAATGTTTTTGTTATTTTAGTTCCCCTAACTAAGTAAGGCTTGGGAATGTCTTATATGTATGCTTAATATTTGTTCCCTTAATCAAGATCACATGGTAATGTCTTTAAATTACTTATACTAACACACTATAATGCGTAGGTTTTTTCGTAGAGGTCTTTTAACATTGAAGATAACCGAAAAAAGTATTGTCTTCAAGTGGCCGGAAAAAAACACAGAGGATGGAGAACTTTTTTAACAAACAAATTTCTTAAGGATGAGCAAGAAAATCTTGTTAAAACGGATCGTCCAATGAAGTATAGCAACTTCATCGGACCCGAAGAATGGGATGAATTTGTATCCAAACGAATAGAAAATGAGAAATTCAAGAAAGTGAGTGACACAAATCGCGAGAGAGCATCAACACCCACGTATCCATACAGAAAAGGGCGTTT